CTGCAGGCCATTGTACCACACCGGGGATTTAGGGGCCGTCCATAAATGACGTCACGCACTTAGGGGAGGGGGGGGGTCAGACATTTGTGACGATGAGTGACGAGGGGGGGGGGGGGTTGAGAAATGTGACGTCACGTAAAAATGCGCAAATTTAAATAAATATAGACAACACATTCTACTTAATTAAATATACTTTTTCATGTTTTCTCCCACATCAGAGTGCAGCGCCACATTAAATACGCACTACAATGACAATAGTTTACAGCGATTTGAAACATGTTTTATATATTTTTTTGGGGGGGCCCGAGCTTTGTGACGTTATATTTGAGGGGGGGGGGGGGGTCTGACTTTTTGTGACGCCGTGTGACGAAGCGGGGAGGGGGGGGGGGTCAAAAATCGTCCAAAATCGCGTGACGTCATTTATGGACGGCCCCTTATTCGCTGCACGTGCGAGGACTCCGAGTGAGCACTTAATCTCACACTATCTCAAGATACCAAGCCAATAGCACAATCGAATTAAATTCGGGCGAAAAAGCAAACATTTACTTAAGTGGAAATAAAATAATGAAATTGCTTACGGCAACTGGAATATCAAACTAAAAGTCCCTGCGGGCACCGCTGTACCCCCCCCCCCCCCTTCACGGTTGAATCTCGCGTGGCTTTTATTATGGAAGGGCGTCTTCTCAGTTACTGCAAACTTGGAATAAACTGCTCCTATTGATTTGATAAATGTTTGAAGTGCATCTGTTTATGATTTAAAGAATTTTTTTTTAAAAATAGTATACAGTAATAATATAGCAGCAATAGCGGTCGTAATTAATTTTTATTGTGGTCTCCTAACAGTAGCTCAAATGAAGCCGGGAATCGTTTTGTCGCATCGTGTCTGTCCTTCAGCGCCTGCTGCTGCTGTTACTGCTGCCGCTGATTCTGCTGCTTCTACTGCTGCTGTTTCTGCTGCTGCTGCTGTTTCTACTGCTGCTACTACTCCTGCTGATTCTACTGCTGCTACTTCTGCTGCTGCTTCTAGTGCTGCTGTTTCAGCTGCTGTTGTTTCTGCTGCTGCTAATTCTGCTGCTACTACTCCTGCTGATTCTACTCCTGCTGATTCTACTGCTGCTTCTACTGTTGCTGTTTCTGATGCTGCTGCTGCTGTTTCTACTGCTGCTGTTTCTACTCCTGCTGATTCTACTGCTGCTACTTCTGCTGCTTCTCCTGTTGCTGTTTCTGCTGTTTCTGCTGCTGCTGCATCTGCTGCTATTTCTGATACTGCTATGTGGAACGTCTCGCTTTGACAGATGCGCGTTATCCGCCGCCCGTTCGCGAAGCAAGCGGGGAGAGAGGAGGAGGTTTGGGGGGTAACGCGAGCGCCAAAGTAACTCCGGCAGTCACTTCGTGTCCCCCACGTTGATCCCCAGCCGGACGAGCGAGCGAGCGAGCGAGCGTTCCTTCCACCTCCTCCGACGACGATGACGACGCTGACCCTTACCTCAACCCCGGGAGAGCACACACACACGCGCGCACACACACGCGCACACACACGCGCACGCACGCACACACACGCACACGCGTGGCCGCGCGTGCAAGAGTGGGGGGGGGGGGGGGTCCGTGTTTTCATTTGGCAAATAACTGCGCTCGTCTCGCCGCGATAGCCTGGCTCCGAGACTTCAAACAATGGCCTGGGCGAGGGACAATTCCTGCCACCGCAGTCGGGAGTTTTCGCGCGTCTTGGGATTTTCGCGCATCTTGGGTTTTTGTGCGTCTTGGGTTTTTGTGCGTCTTGGGTTCTTCGTGCGTCTTGAGTTTTCGTGCGTCTTGAGTTTTTCATGCGTCTTGGGTTTTCGTGCGTCTTGACTTTTCGTGCGTCTTGAGTTTTTCGTGCGTCTTGGGTTTTCGTGCGTCTTGAGTTTTTCGTGCGTCTTGACTTTTCGTGCGTCTTGACTTTTCGTGCGTCTTGACTTTTCGTGCGTCGTCTTGAGTTTTCGTGCGTCTTGAGTTTTCGCGCGTCTTGAGTTTTCGTGCGTCGTCTTGAGTTTTCATGCGTCTTGCATCCTCGAGCAGGTTTTATCTTTTGGCCGCGTTTGCACCGCACGCGGCTCTCCCGCGCCAGCTCTCGCTCCTCCTCCTCGACCGATCGTTCCCCCCTGAACGAACTCCCGCGTCATCGGAGATGGCGACCGCAGCCGGTGCTTAAATTTTTTTTTGTCCGGAATTGTCCGCGAACGCTGTTCACAGAAATGTTTTTTTTTTCTGCTTGGGGCAAGTCACAGCCATCAGCCATCTCGAGTTATTTCGTGAGTGCTGGTGTCTAATTATTTTTTCATGAATCCGTTCTGATGTACAGGAATATAACGGAACGACATACGTACACGTATCGTGGATTCGACGTACGTTGTGCTCTGGTGGTAGTGCCTTACGTCGGTGAGAGATCTACTCCAGGACAGCTTGGCAGCGTTCTGGAAATTATCGAGTGAGAAGTTAAGCCCCCGAGTGTGGCCATCATCACCATCATCACCATCAGCCTTGATCAGTGGCAGTGGTAGCGATGTGCCGAGGTGAGGGATGAGGGGGGTGATGAGAGAGACACACACACAGGTGAGCCGGGGACGCAGTCAACTTGTGAGAGATGTCCAAAGGGCACAACGTTGGATGAGAGAAGAGAGATGTAGACATGATAGGGATTAAAGCAATACATTTTTCTCTGTTAACGTCAATTACGTTTTTCGTTCATTTGGTTCACTATTTTTCATTGATCAAAGGGCCACCTTGAGCTACGTGGGACGCTAACCGTGTGCTTGTCTTGGTTATGCCCAGTGCCACAGCCGGCCAGGATCAATCCACTGCTGGACGAAGGCCTCGCTGAGCCCTCGCAAAAGTTCGTCGCGGTCCTGCGATGCGATCGACCGCCCAGCGTCTGCGCGTGATCAAACCTCACCGCTCCGTCTCCGCGGTACGGACGTCCAGCCGTGGTGCCGTGTGACAAGTAGGAAGTGCTCACGAAGCCCACGACAACCGGATTTTGGTTATCTGGAAGTGCTTGAACGTCGCGTGGGTTTGCCGTGCTGGTCATGAGCCGAACTCCAGCCCCTCTGTCTCGTTCCCAACCGTGGCTCCGATGCGTTTTTTTTTATTCCCTCTACCCCCCACCCCGTGTGATTGATCATTCGAATTTGAGATTTCCGTGACATTCAAGCGAATTCATGAACACATATCCTCGTTGTCCACCGCCGTGTTTGTGTTTCAGGGTTGCGCCGCACCGCGTGTTTGTTTTCGTCACGATGTCCGACGTTTCGCTCCACGTGCACAACTCAGCTTCGGACGGAAGCTCCCGGCACGGTGAGCGTGTCGCGGAGCAACAAACAAAAAAATATATTTGTGGTTGCAAAACCTTATCCTGATGCTTTTGATTTTTTATTGTTGTCTTTTCCAGGTCCTTACCACGGAGATGTTAACACAACACCAGCAGCCGAACCGCGCATTGGCAAGGTAATGGCCTGCGAACTTGAACTCAAAAAGTTTGCGATTTCGCTTGCATGCACACACACTGGCACGTGTCCCCCTCTCCTCACGGCGACCCTGGCAGGCCCTCCACGTGTCCCTCCGTCTCTATCCCTCTACCGTCCTTCCGCCGTCACTGCGTCGCCGTTGCGCAAGGACGACCATGTCCGAGCTGCCCCAGCCGCGCGCCGACAGCCCCCAGCAGAATGCGCTCAGCACTGCAACCTCGGCGGTGGCGGCGCTCCCGGCCACCGGCTCTGCCAAGTTCCTCTTTGAGCCGCCGCTCCCATCGTGCCAAAGTCCGGAGACTCCTCCGTACAGGAGCGAGGCAGGGCCCCCCAATCTCCCCAGCGCCCTCACCCCCCCCACCCCCCCAAGGCTTCTTCTGGCCTTGCTTCCCTCTCTGACCCGCGAGCCCCCCCTGCCCGACCCAGCCAGACCGCGTGTCTCGTTCGGTCTCCCCGCAATGCGTCTGCCCCTCTCCGCGCTCCACACATCTTCGGCTTGTTTTGCTCTCCTGATTTATTAGATTCTTTTTTTTTGTCGCACACTCACGCTCAATTTACTGCTCCTCAAGGCCGCTGCACGAGATCCCACGTGCGCCGTGCCTGCGTGCGCCGTGCCCACTCGCGCCGTGCCCGTGCGTGCACTGCGCTACAAATCCAGCGACCCCAGTTCGATTCCCGCTCACGGCTAACATCGGTGATGAATTTTCTGAGCCGGTTCTTGGTCTCCCCGAGGTCAATCTCGGCAATAAGTGAGTACCTGGCGCGGTGCGTAAACTTCAGCGGTGGGGAGACGACGGTGGCCGAGTGCGGCGCTGGCCACACCACCAACCCCCCCCCCCCCCCACTTCGTGTGCCGTGCCGTGGGACTTGATGGGTGCCCCCTGACCGTCCTTGTCATGAACCTGGTGGTGTACGACGGAAAGAGCTCGGAATTATCACATTTGGTGCCACCGTCTGAAAAAGAAGGAAGGAGTCCAAAGAAGATCAACACTTCCCTTCATGGGGGCGTGGGGGTGGCTTTATAGGGGGATCTTTGTCTTTGTACGTCCACCAATCACCCCGGTGAGTGACACCTGTCATTGCACCTATTTTTTTTCGTGCCCTCCCACTCCCGACTCCTGATTCTCATTTCTCCCCTCCCTCTGAACGCGAGTTAATCATTGCCGAGGCACTATCTCAATAAACCCCGAGCTCTTATCATCTGCTCCCCTCCCTACGTGACATACAGCAACACGCAGAGGGGGTGCGGGGGGGGGGGCGGGGGGGCGAACACAAGTTTTTTTTTATCAGCGCACGGGCTCCATCACGTGAAAGTGAGCCATCCAATGGCGAGGGCGAGGACAATTAGTCTCCCCCTTCTCCAGCTCCGATTTATTCCTGCAGTAAAAACATAAAATTCAGTTTATAACTGAGCCAGAGCAGCGAGCGTGTTTCAGACTTTGACCATCGTGCCGACTTCCGAATTACAGCACTTCGATTTTCTCCGGGCCACGCGTCCGTCCGCTCGTCCGCTAGTCTGCCCGTGCGGCTTGCACAGCGAGGTCTACGGTTAAAACTCGAGAGCACGTAGTTTATTGTTTTCTCTCACAAAAATTTGTAACTCCTCCGCCGGATTATAATTTTGCGCCGACACCGTTGGCGGCTGCGGCGGCGGCTGCCGGCATCGTCCTTTTCATCGTCCTCGCCATCGTCGCTCGAGAGAGAGAGAGACAAACCGTTTGGGTTCTTTTTTGGCGTCGGCTTCGACGACGTTGGCCCCCGCGCGCCGTCTCGCCAGCGATGTCGGTGGTGGCCACGCCGGGGGGCCTCGTGCCGGGCCTCTTCCAAGGTGAGGTTCTTGCCACGCCGCTGCCGCTTGACGGATCGGCGGGTGCGCCCGGGCGAGTCTCGCGCAGTCGGGAGCACGGCGGGGGCGGGGTGACTGACTCTGTGGTCCACAAGCGAAGCAATAGCTCGGGGCACCCAAACAGCACGAGGGGGGACGGACCTCTGATTAGTTGGCGACGCACGGTGCGAAAGAAGTTCAACATACAGACATAAAATATATTTTTTAAAGTAAGAATGAACTAAATATCAACTCAAATTGAGATCCTAAAAATGTAGAATTTGTACAAATATGTTTCACTCATCTTGATCCTGTCGGCAGCTCTTTTCCCATCTCACTCCAGCCCCCGCGTCTTGTCGACACGGCTCATGTCACTGCATCTCTGTCTCATCTGTGTCTCTCTCATCTCGTGGCAGCCCTACCTGTTTTCCTCATCTCGCTACATCCACATCTCTTGTGTACATCTCGTCCATAATCTCACGAGGAGGGTGGACATTGAGAGTGTGGTTGGGGGGCGAGTGCGGCCCCGAATACCCAGCATCACCACCACGAGACCTCTCCGTTTTTGTCACCACAATACCCAGCAGAACCATCACGACTTCTCTCCACTTTTGTCACCACAATACCCAGCAGAACCACCACGACTTCTCTCCACTTGTGTCACCACAATACCCAGCAGAACCATCACGACTTCTCTCCACTTGTGTCACCACAATACCCAGCAGAACCACCACGACTCCTCTCCACTTGTGTCACCACAATACCCAGCAGAACCACCACGACTTCTCTCCACTTGTGTCACCACAATACCCAGCAGAACCACCACGACTCCTCTCCACTTTTGTCGTCCCCCGTGGCCATCCTCAGGGGTCTGACCGGTGCCCTCGAATAAACGCCGGCACGCGCGAGCGCCCGCCGGCCAGACCGCCGTGCGTATGGGTGGGTTCGTGCAGCAGAATGGACGGTGCAAACAAAAGTTTACGTTCGTCACGCGGGGCAGAATCGCTGACACGGGTGATTGACGTCTTTTTGTTTTCTAAGTTCCGTACAACTACGATCGTGAACCACGAGAGTGAACGGAGAACTTAATTCAAAAGTTGTTGGCGGCGATGCTGTTGCTGCGTTGGCAGTGGTGCACAAGCACCGATTCACAAACAAACAAGCCACGAAAAAAGTCAACACGTTTGTCAACAACAACATCGTGTGTGGCGTAATTTTTTTTGTATATATTGGTGACGTTTTGGGGAAATTTCCCTTCGTTGACGCGCTGTGCAGAAGGCCCATGCCTGAAACGTCACATTTTTTTCCATTAATTTCATGGCCACGCTGTTATTGACGAATGTGTTGAGTTTCTTCGGAGAATGTAATTGTCTTCGTAGATGAAATGAAAACAAATAACGAGATGGCGATGAGGTTTCAAAATGTACCTGGGAATAATCGGCTAAAATGCCGGCACTGCAGAATGTTTACAAACGCACTTTCTATCTAACACGTAACGCCAGTCATTAAAAATACACACACACACATACGGAATAGTTAGACGTGAAGGTAATTATTATTTTATACATTTAAAGACGTTTTCTCCGGTGCTTCTACATGAGAGTGGTGTGAGGAAAAAGCAAAAAATTGTCAACCCGCAAAAAAAAAAACGAGATAAAAAACGCGAACCATAAAACCCAAAACTTTTGCGGCATCACTGCAACTCTGCGGCAATCATTACACGTCCACAGCTAATAACACCCCGAATGTATATATATAATTTTGTGATACTGCATTGGCAGTGGTGCACAAACACAACTAATAAGCCCATTCATCGGTAACGCAGCCCTAACTTAGTAGGAACAACAACAAAAAACAACCCAATCGGCGACGTTTCGGCCAATGGGCCTTTTCAGAGCAAGGCGGAATGCGTTGAGTTTATCGAAAACAGAAACTCGGCGATCAACACGAAGCTGAAAGTTCAGAACGTGAAGCGAACGCCGACTTTTCCTGACCTCTTCGAAATTTAACAGCCAGGGCATCACGTGGTTGGGGGGGGGGGAGATGATTTAATTTCAAGTAAACACGTTTAGTTTTTTTGGTTTTTACCAAAAAATCTATTTTTCAAGAATTGTGGCTCCTCACGCCGCTGCCGCTGTTTATACAAAAACCACCGTAGCAGAGGCGCTGGCCGATGCAATTTATTGTGTCAGCATCCACGAATAACAATACCGGGAGGGGGGGGGGGGAGTGCAAAGACGTTGGATGCCGGCAACAAGCGAGAGTTCATCTCCAGCCGACGGCCGCTAGCTTCAGGAAAAAAAATCTACGCAGGTTTGATTTTCTTTATCTCCGCGCGCGGTTGCGCCGTACAACTTTCTCCCCCCGATGCGTCGTCGGGTCGTGCCGCGTGCGTCGTCCCCGACGTTCCGCTCCGCGGAAGGCGACGACGTCGGAGAGGTGTGAGGGGGATAATTATGTTCGCGTTTGTTAATTGGCTTTGGAGCGCCAGCGGTGATCGCGCAAAAGATCGCCTTCCTCGTGGACGACGCCGGAAATACTGAGCGGCGAATCCAGTTTCCGCAAAGGAAGCTCCCAGGGATGTTGGAGCGCATCCGAGGGTTTGTTCGTGACGGGCGGCGAAAGAACGGCACGATGGGTGGTTTGCCCGCTTCGGCAAGTGAACGCGGCCGAGATGCTCGCCTCCCGTTCACAGCCCCTCGGCCCGGTGGTTACAATTCCGAAATCCTGTGGCTGGGGCCGTTATTCCATAGGGCAGTCATGTACTGTAGGATTCGTGGTTCTGTCCAACTTTGGGGAGCCGGCTTCAGATTCCCTGACGAATATGTGAACTGGTCCTGTGCCTCCACGAGGTCGGCTCAGCCTTGAATGAGTACACCAGTGTCATCAGCACTTTGGGAAACACAGTCGGTCGGGCCGTGGTGCTGGCCACCTCAACCCCAGCTTGCGTGCCGTGCCGGCCTTCATAAGTTGCTCGCTAACAGCACTTGCCCCAACACCTCCAATGAGCGCGTTTGTCTACGTACGGTCCTATAGAAGTTCAACATACATACAACAGCCTGTCAAAGGCTATACGGTGGTAGGGGGGGGGGGCGGTGTGGATCTTTGTACAACTCGGCCGGGTCCTGTGAAGTGATTTTTGCCCCGTGTGGTTTTACCCTCAAAAGCCCCAGCGGCGGCGGAGGCTCGGCAGTAGAGGGGGGGGGGAGCAGGTTGTTGCCGCGAGCCGTTGGAGCAGCGTGGGGTCGCGGGGCCGAGTCGAGCGATGACCTTACCCCCCGAGCGGCGCGCGCCTGTCCGTGACGCTCCGTTGGACGTCTCCCCCGGGCAGAGTTTAAGGGCAGGGAGGGACCCTCGCTCTCGTAGCCTCCCTTTGGCGTACCCTTGCACGGATGAGGAGGAGTTACCTCCTGGAAATAAATAAACATATATACACGTGTTGACAATTGCCACTCAGCATCAGTGTCAGGCAAGGTGCGTCAGAATTTGTGAGTTTTTTGGTATCTGAGCGGATGCAAATGTCAAGCGCTGTTCACCGGGAAATGTTCTTTTTTAAGTTGTAAGTTTCACCAGGCTCCATTGTGTAAACAAGTGTAGTCTCCAACTCGTATTATCCACTCTGCCTCTCCGGCATCTCTGTGTTTTTTACGGGTGCCACAGTGGCGAGATGTTAACTACCTCGCTTGGTACGCAGGAGGTCATAGCTCCAGACCCTGATGATGCCTGTATATTTTGAGTTTGCACGTCTCTCTCCCCGTGGTCGCGTTGATTTTCCTCCAAGTCCTTCAGTTTTCCCCTCCACATTTAGAATCAACATCACGCGTTCAGAGTGTTTGGCTGCTATACATTTCCACGTGATAAGCCACTTCGTTGAGCTATCATCTGTGGCCAGGTCGCTTCCGAAAAACTGCTATATAGCTCAGTGGGCCTTACTTGGTAAATAAAACAATATTTCAGTTGTAATTTGTACGTGCTTGCAAGAAGGACCATTGTGGTGAAAAGTTGCCCATCGCAAAATCAATTTTTCCTTTTAAGGCGGCATTTTTCTTGGCAAATGCGTTGAGTTTCGCGTTGCTACTCGTGCTGCTTGTGCACCAGAGCGGAGAGCGCAGAGGGGTTGACGGATCGAGAGTCGGCGAACGCACTTCGCTGACGACTTTAAACAAGTGGAGGGGTCTGAAACGAGTTGGTGTGTGAACAACTTTGAATTTAAACGTATACAGTTTTCATCATTTGCAAATGATTATCATCATTAGCTAATTATGCTGGTATTGATGATGATAATCATTGATGATGATAATCATCATCAATCCTTTTTAAGACTAAAACGGTCTATTTTAAAACAGAGACCTGGGATGAAATCAGCGGCAGAAAACTGATGCCGAGTGGCAAACCCGTGATGTGTTTTCGCTCCACGTGCTGATAGCTTCTTCAAGAAAATCCGGTGCCTGAAGAAGCTTTTGGCACGTGGAATGAAACGTCGGACATCGTGCCGAACAACGCGTGACCCGAATGTGCAGTAGAGAGCTGTGCATCAGCAGGGCAGCCGCCAAAATCCCACGCTTGTGGAAGCTCTCTCAAAACCAGCGACGTCTTGAATTGTTGCGGTGCTTATTCCTTCTTCACAGCCTCGAGTCAGTGGTGGAAATTCTACGGTCTTGCGGTGGGGGGGGGGGGCGGGGGCGAGCCCATAGGATAACCACCGTTGACTTTCCCACAAAGTGCTATTCATACAAAAAAAAACATCGCTTTGAAATCCAAACGATCTGAACCAAAAAGTGACCTCCCATCGGTAACAGCCGCGCTCTAAAAATAAAACAAAATGAAATTAAATAAAACGAAACCCCGGCACAATTCGTCGGACGTGCCGGTTGGCCGGTTTGTTGTTGCCAATTGGCGATCGTAGATTGCGTGGCCACTGAACTTGCAGTCCGCTGTGTTTACGGTGACGCACGCCACGGCCAAGGGGCCCCCCGGCACTGTGCCAGGCGCGGCGACGGCGG